AAAAAAAAACCTTCTAGTTCTACTCACATAAAGAGCTTAGGAATTAAAATATATAGACAAAAATTATATACTTAAAAAATTTAGCTTCATTTTTATCCAGCTAAATATTATACAGGATGGAATTTTTTGGAAAATACTTGTATGTGGATCGATGATTGATCCTCTATCTTATTCTGACCACTACTAAAATATTAACAGTTTATTATTTTAAAAAAAATTGCATTTTTTTCTCTTATTTATTAAAAATTTAGTAGTAGTACCACACTTTAGTACTGTAAATATAGGGGAGGAATCTTGTAGTGAATTATTATTTATTAGTCTAAGGTATCACGTCAACATTTAATTAATAGAACTATCGTTACAAAGAGTTGTTATAATTAAACTAAAAATTTAGAAATGTAATAAAATCTTTCTAAAATTCAGAGAGTAAATAGTAAATAAATATATTATTCTCAAAATCTAGAGAGTAATATTTACTTTTTATAACCTTTAAAAAATTTAGAGAGTAAATAGTAAATAAATATATCGTTGTCAAAATCCAGGGACTAATATTTATTTTTTATTTTCACTTTGTATAATATAGGGTAGAAAATCAAATTATTAACATTTCGAATGGTAATAAACGTCTTATCAACTACGCTGGATAATCGGATTAGCTAAGATAGTTAATTCGATAATTTATTTAATTATTAATGACATTATTATTTGATATTATATAACACCTCCCCCATCTTGCTATTGTGTAATTTTCTTGCTTTCACATTGCGAATCAAAATCCCTACACTTAGATTGACCAATTCATCACCTTTTTTTTCTCTCTCTCGCTCTCTCCCATGGCTACCCCACTCTGATCCTTTATTATTATTATTATTATTTTTTTGTGTCTCTCTTTTAATTTTATGGAACCACAAAGGGGAGAAATAGACCAATCTTTTTATTTATGGAGTGAAAAGCCTACAAGATCATCTCTTTTTCTTCCCTCCCATTTCCCCCATATTCTCTCTCTCTCACACAAAAACCCTAATCAGAAAAGAAGAAGAACAACAAGAACAAGAAGGCCATACCCATTTTCTGCAACCCCCATCAAAATTCCTCATTTGTGAGTTTGTTGTTTATTCTCTCTCCTTTATGCCCAATTTTTTCTTTTCCAAACCCAAAACCAAAAATTAAAACTTTGGCTCTGTCCTTTGCAAATTGCAGAGATCACTGCCTAATTTATTACTTCTCTACTTCCTTCTCATCATATATACATATCTGCAACTCAGTTATTTATTGCAACTTTTGTAAACTTTCTCTCTCTCTCTCTCCTCCTCCATGGATTCTAGTGGGAGTATGCAGTCCTCTAGTGGTGGTGATGAGGAGTATGAGTCACGCGCCGACTCCCTTACGGCGGCGTTCATCACCCACCACGGCGGTTCCCTCGCCGGAAACTTCCACCATCCTCCCCAATCCTCCTCTATGTTTGATCCTTTGTCTAATTTATTCGATCCACGGCCCTCTATTGCTAATTCCAATCCAAACCCACTTCTCAATCTCGATATGGTTTGGTCTCGGACTGTGAGATCCGATCAGATTCCGCCGGATCTCGGCGCCCCGGCGCCCAATTCCTCCGCCGTCAACCACAATTTGCCCTCACTCTCCAACTTTTCCGCCCCCCAAAATTTTCCCCACCCACCGGAGGGTACTAATTCCATGAGAGGCTCGGGTTTGGGTTCGGAACAAACCGAGCGGGATAGTGGTGGCGGTGGTGGCGGCGGCGGCAGTGGCGCCAACGTGGTTCGGAGCTCGAAGAAGCGGCCGAGGGCCTCTCGACGAGCTCCGACGACAGTTTTAACAACGGACACTACCAATTTCCGGGCCATGGTCCAGGAATTCACCGGGATTCCGGCTCCGCCTTTCACATCGTCGTCGTCGCCGTTCGCGAGAAACACCCGATTCGATCTCTTCGGTACCGCCGCCGCCGCGCAGCCTTATCTTCTACGGCCATTTGCCCAGAAACCGGCGTTTCTCTCGCCGTCTCCGCCGTCGAATTTCCTCGCCGGGAATTTACAAACCCCGGCTTTCGACGGCGGCCATTTCCACAACATGTTCCCATCAAACCCCAAATTAATTTCCAAGGCTTCCTCGTCCACTCTCGAGATTCTGCAGAATAACGATCAGAATCTCAAAATGGGTATTTTTGAGGAGTTCGGTCTGAGCACCCAGGGCCTCCCGCCGGCCGGTGAGGCCTTACCGTCGACCACAACTGACGACGACAACAACAACCACAGAAACCCTCCTCCTCCGGCGAGATGGGTCCCAGGCGACGGCGGAGAAACAGATCAACAAGCTCTTAATCTAAGATCTGGCAACGGAAATAGTAACGGGAAACTGATCCGGTACGGCACCGGAAACTCATCGGAATTTCTCGGAGATAAAGCGGCGGAGAATGTGACGACGGCGAGAAGTGAAGGTATGGTGGAACCATGGATTTGTTCTTCTGATTAGTTGGAAAAAAAAAAGTCAGAAAATGGGAAAACGATGAGAGAGAGTAATTACGTCGTTAATTAACCATCGCCATTATCAAACATAATCGAAATTGGAAACACCTCTTTTTTTTCTTTGGTAATTATTGTGTAAATAACAGAGATCTAGTTTTAATTATTTTCTCATAATTCACATATAAATATATATTCTTCATGATCAGATCAATACACTATTTTACTTGGAAATTAATTAACCCATCATTTTTTCTTTTTTGAATATTGTTCTTTCTCTCTCTCTCTCATGTGCAAAAATAATTAGATAATGAAGGGAGTGATTGGTGGCGGGATTTGGGGGATGGTTGTAGCCGCCACAATCTTCAGACAGTTTCATTATCATATCATATTCATTACCTCTTAATTCATGTCTCTTAATCATTTGTATCATACGCTATATTAAACATTTATTAGTTATAACCTTAAGCTAAAAAGATATTTTGCCTTTTTTCTCCTTTTTTTATTTCTTTTAGCTACGAGGGAGTGAAGATTCAAACATCTAAGAGTTTATTGGCGTATTTTAACTAGTTAAGTTAATAATCGTTTTGCAATGTCCTTGATTTAACTTAATATTTTTGTTAAATTTATTACTATTTTAGTTATGTGTTATGTTAAGTTTCAATTTGGTTCTACCATAGAAATTAGTTCCTATATATTTTTCGACATCAAATGTTGTAGGGTCAAGTGGTTGTTTCGTGAGATTGATCGAGATGCACATAAGTTGGTCCAGACACTCAAGTTATAAAATAAAAAAAAAAATATTGGTTTTATAATTTGATGGGATCTCTCACATTGTTTGGAGGGTTGACAGCGGTTTTATGTGACATGTTTTCTCCAAACATGGGCTACATTTTCAAATCCAATGATATTTTGAGATATTTAACTCATCATTGGAATTCTAAAAAACTAAAAGGACTAAAATGGTATTTCAACATAAGTGTCTCTACCTACAAAATGGGGTGATTCACAATATATCAAACTAAAATATTCAACAAAAGTTGTTACCAAATGTGAAAGGAATAATTTTAAACTTTCCTTTGCTTATGGAATGCCATTCTCTCCTATAAATGAATTAGTTTTCCATTTAAAAACAAATTATATAATGAGTAAGATCTCCCTTTTTTCCCCCTTGAAAGTTGTTGAAAGATAAATGGGGTTTCTTTTTTCTTGGGATTTAGAGTATTGGGAATGGAGAGGGCCCCCTCAAAGGGCATGTCCATATCTGAAATTCAAATGTTTTTAAGAATGGAAGGTGGGAAAAAAGTTAAAAGTGGGTTTATGCAGCCTGTACTCTCTTCCCCTCTGAAACTGTTGCTGTTACCAAAGTTTTCTTTGCATGAAATGGAAGGATACCCAAAAATAAATAAATAGATAAGCTTTTAATCTCTCTCCTTTTCATATGTATATAATTTACATTTCATTGATTGATATATCATTATCTTTTTCACTTCAATCATACATATCATCTTCACCTTTTATTTTAAATTTAGAATGATGAAAAAGAGGCATCACACACAAATGCTTATAGTGCTGCCCTTTTCTTTTTACCCAAAAAAAATATTGAATCTTTCCGTTGATAGTGAGTTTGATATAACTTTTAAGTTCCAAGAGCATCAAAATTTTCTTTTTTCTTTTCACCTTTGGAGTCGAATATTTTAGAATCAAACTTCAAAATAACTTGTTACTTAGGCATCTTTTTTGTAGTGCATTGTATGAATATGGGATTGTTGGGTAAAAATGAAAAGTAAAAGTTTGATGGGATGTTTAGTTTTAAGGTAGACAATATCATATCATTTATAAAACTACAGCCATGACTATATAATAGTCGAATTTAGTGGTTAAACTCTACTGCAACGATAATACTGTATACTTTTTTCTTTTAAGTGTTGTATAGATAACCACTCCAAGATTTGGGAACTATGTATGAGAGTTTGAGCATGGGATTTAGGATTTTGTGGACTTTTTACAAAGGAAGTTACCTTTCGATCACACCACTCTCTCTCTCTCTCACGGAAACAGTTGAACATGGGAAATGGGTAGAGAGAGAGTAAAAGTTTTCTTTAAACAAATAATGGTGAGAGCAATGATGGTGTTCTCTTTCTCTGGTATAAACCCACACACATACACATACACACAAAGAGAAAGAAAGAGAAGACAATGTCAAAGGCTGAAACAGTGAAGACAAACTGGCAAAGCCAAAGGGGCAAAGGGAATCATCTCTTGTATTACCCAAAAAAAAAAGAAAAAAAAACCTCTGATTTTGAGCCTAAGTTTCAAAAGATCCATAACTTTTGTTTGTCCCCACTCAAAGACATGGCCCTCCCACGGCCAATGCCGAAACTAAAATAACAAGACAAAGTTTTGTAACAAAAGAAATTAATGTTGGATTTGTAAATAGTGCAAACATTTATTTGTTTTTTATCTGTGTGATTTTGTCAGTTGGATCCTTATAATTAAGATGTAGACGGCCATCCATTGGGGAGAAGATCTCAACTACTCGTTCCATGGGGCTCAAATTGGAGAGGGGTATTTCCATTCGACCACAAACCCACCATGCCACCTCCCGCCGATGATAATGCAAAAAAAAAAGTTTTAATTACTTTTGACTAAAGAAGTTCGTGAATATATATGTGAAGGACAACATCGAATATCTCTATTGATACGAGATATTTTAGGTGAAACCAAAAACAAAACCAAGCAAACAACATAGGGTACCCCTCGAATTTATTTTTTTTTTAATTTTTTTTTTCATATATACACTCCCCTATTACCCAAAAAAAAGGAAAGGGAAAAAAACAGTCAATAATGGCTTTATATTCCCTTCTACGGATATATCTAATATTCTCAGATTTTGTTGTCTACAATCACTCTATTTTATTGTTCTCCCAAAAATTCCACTGTACCCTTCCCTCCCCACACTTTTTTCCTTTCAAAAATCAGAGAACAATTTTTTATTTTTATTTTCTTCCAATGTTTGATTGATGGTCATCATTAACTTTGTTTTAAATGTCTATTGGATGCAGTATCAAACAGTGTTGCTTATCTAACATTTCGATATAATTCAAACGCGTGGAGATTAATTGGATCATCTTTAAAGATTCGACAATCCTCTCGTTAGGAAATTGATTTCCTAATAGGTTATTAGTTGGATTGATAATGATTTTGTTTTTTATTTTATGTCTTCAAATCTAATGTTTGGTGTTTTGTTAGTCTTCTTTTGGGAAATTTGTGCATAATGTAAATCGATAAAGAGGATCTTACCGTGTGAGATCAAGATTTTATGAACAAGATATATGGATGGGTGGAGTAACAAATCAACTAGAATTTAGTGATTGTAATGCCTCAAGTCTAAAATTCGAATTAGGATTCCAAATACTCGTATAAATCTTGGACCTGGAGCTTTACAAATAGTATTAGGATGAAATCTCTTTTAGTACGGATGTGGTTCGGAGATGAAAATCAAATGGAAGTTGGTGAACATGTTACGTCGAGTAGAGATCAAGAGAAGTACATGAGTGATCTGACACCATACTCGAATGAGGAGGATGCTGAGATCATGGAAGCATAATTTAGAAATGCTTAAAAGAATGGAACGTAACTATCTATACTAAAATCTGAACATTTTTTTTTTCGGTAGCCCAATTATAATACTGCTTTATAGGTAGTGACACAATGACCTGTCTAATTATGAAGAATTAATTAATCTACAAACTCGATTGGATTTATTTCAACCACTAAAAATTTTAAAATTTTCATTTCTTATTTTTTGGAATTTGGTAAAAAATACAAAAAGTAAAATTTAAATGGCTAGGAAACAAATAGTCAAACACAAAATTATGGTTAAGGATCTTGTTGAAGCCTTTTAGAATTAGGACGGGCTAGCATAAGTGATTTGAGGTAGGTGCTTTAATTTGTCCAAGCCTATGATAGAGAAAATATTTTATATAATTTTTATACTGCCATTCATTTTTAATCACGTCAGCAAAATTTTAAAAATAATTTTTTCTATTATAATGTTTAGGTGCCACTAATAAATTCTTAGGATCTCCTTTTTTTTTTCAAAAAGCTGTATTTATTTTTCCTTTTATTCCCTCTAAACATGAAATTAGCTAAAATGGAGTTTTTTTTTATTTACTAAAAATGAACAAATAAAATATAATTAATATTATAAAAGGAAAAAAAAAAAGCTCCCTTCAAATGGATAATTTAAATTATAACAAAAGATACTCTTTAGTCTTTTCCAAGTCATCAAGTAAACAAGAACATAGTTTAATTATGCTCCCCATAATAAATTAATTTCATTTATATTTCAAGCATATTAATTAGCAACCAAATTTACAAAAATTCTATTAAAAAAAATCAATTTTACAAATATTATTTTTAATATTTATTATGTCTAGCAAATATTTGGAGTCTTGTGACATCACCTACTTTGAGATGTAATGCAAGTCAGACATCAAAAATCAAACATTATTTTACTCAATTTTATTTATAAAAGGTAAAATAAATAAAATTGAGTAAAATAATGTTTTCAAAATTTGAAAAATTATGGAAACAAGAAAACACATTTATGTTTGCTAAAATTTTGAAGACAAATTTAGAAATGTTTCATAAAGAAAAGAGAAATAGTTACCAAATTTACCAAAAGACCCTCTTAGTTACTACAATTGCAAGCAACAACCCATTGAATGAAGTATGACGAGTATTTGACAACAAGCAACTAAAGAAGAAGTTCAACTTTCACATGATTGGATCAATTCGAAGCTACAAAGAGTTATTTTTTTTTTTTTTTACCTACCACTAATTAAAAATAATATGTTTTAAGATCTCTCTACTTTCTACATGAATATGTTTAATTAATATTGGGTAAATAATAGGATTCTTTTAACTTCAACCACCTTTCAATATACTAATTCCAAGTATTATCTCTTTAAAAAAAGGTGTGAAATCATTTTGATTTTGAATAATGTTTATATAATAATTTTTATTATTACAAGACAACAAATTTAAAAAACCTTTATGAGTTGCTTTCTAAAATCTTAAGAATGTATGAAAATTTTCAGCCAACTGAAATAGGTTAACATTGTAC